TAGGTTTCCCTCTAATTAAAAACCCCTAAAATTAAAGATCACATTTCTACAGCCCCTAAATAAATGCCTATTTTATATATTTATGATATTTTTCCAATTAAAGACCAGAGCTGCTGCTAAGGACCATGAAAGTCTTTAACAATGTTGTTAGTGTTTTCCTCAAGAAGTAGACCAAACATCACAAAAAATTTGAATGATAGTTGTCTTAAAAATTTGCATGATAATTGACATAAAATTTGCATAGTACCCAACACTTTTTCAGAGGTATACAGTATGGTGTTTCAAGGCATCGCCAGTGTAAAGAAAATTCTTTTATGTTCAAAATCTTGCAGAATTATAATATATAATGTAATAATTTCTTATAAATAAACAAAGTTTGAAATCAATTTATTGAAACATTTTATCTAATATAATAGACAACAAGCTTTACTCAACTCTTGCAATAATGCATGATTGTTGGGTTTATTAGATTTTTTATTGATGCTAGCTTTATATAGATGTCAGCATTGTACACTTATAATTACATTACAATGTAACATTATAACCATTTTTTCCACCTTTTCTCTATTAACGTTTGTATTGTTTACCTTTTAAATTCTAGATTTTGGAGCTTGTGATAGCATTTTGTGGTGTTGCAAATCTCCGTAGCCATGTGTGCCAAGTCATAATGGCCACGCCAACCGTACAGAATCAAGGATACAACGTGAAGAATGCAGCTGATGAACCATTCTTCATGCTGGTCCATTGGGCATGTCAATCAGTTACCAGTCATGATCAGGTTTCACTAAAAGCTCTTGATGTTCTACGAGAAATGAAAGAAGTATGTTGGTGTTGATATTTTTATTTGCTTATTAGTAGTGGTCAGTGTTGTTGCTTTACATCAAGTTTCTGCATAAAGCCTGCTTTTTTGAAAATTACTACACTGTTACTGCAGTGTTTTCTGTACAGTCATTGTACTGTGTGATGAAGTCCAGTCCAGAAGCAAACACAAGGATATACACATAGACGGTAGCGTAACGTTCTACATGCAATTTAATCTTCAAAAATATAGTAAAAATTCATACAAAGTACAGCTCAAGTCCCACTTGGGTGTTAATTCACTGAAAACATGAATACAACCTAAGTCCCACCTTGTTGGAGTTACTCTCACCTAGGTGTAAAGTGTCAACTGACTTCCATATCCTAAAAAGCATACTATTAAAGAGAATTCCCAATATTTTATCAACATTCCAGTTTTAACCACATCCCTTCCGTTCCCATACAATTCCTTCTCATCATGATAATATATTAAATAGAGCAATATCATTGACTTGCATAGTAGTACCTTCTGATATTAACCAATATTTCTATTTGGAAAATTATTTTACAAATATTTTTAGATTTTTTATATTCTATGATACCTTTTACAATATTATTATTCAAAAATATTCAAATAACTTTATAAATTTTAATATAAATTTTGTTATTACTGTATGTTGTGTTTATTCTAATACATTACAGGAGATTATTGACACTGGGTCAACAGTTCAGCTCTCTCTGAGGTTAGATGTCACGTTACCAATGGCAACAGAACTGTTGACATCTCATATGACCACCGACAATCCATTGATGAAACAACATTGTCTCAAGTTGCTCAAAGTTGTTGAATTCTTGAGAAATATCCTTAGTGTTACCTTCTGTTCCAGAAACAATTTTAAAAATCAAACTTTTCTTTTGAGTTAGAGCAGCCTAGACACCTTTTTAGGTTTTACGGGAATAAATAAACCTTTTCAGAGTGTCATTCAAACTTATCAAGTGACCAATCAGAACATTTATTTGCCAGTAATACATGAATGTCCCACATATTCAAAAGTTTACGTATGTTTTGTACTCTGTTAAATTCCCATTCCAATGTAACAATACTGAAGAATCAGGGTTAACCAAAAGATCCTTTGGTTGAGCAGTTCATTCTTATGTGGGAATTCTTGTCTTCATTAATGTGGTTGTACTATAGCACATATTCAGTAAACTTCATGGCACATTGCTTGAAGCTGAAACAATGTAATATTAATTGCATATTATGCATTTTTTCCTCTTGATGAAGCTGTTTTCTTTAACTGCTTGCTACCTTTATGTATTGATGAAAACTCAAGGCAATATGTTGCACAGTGTCTTGATGTACAGGTGGTTTTAAGCATCCTGGAATGCCAGCTAAATCACAATCAGATTGGGCTAAGTATGACTCGGAAGTCAAACCAATCAGACTGGAGGTAAATACACCGATTCGTTTACAATGATTATTTCTCCCTCTAGATGCCTACTAGAGGCTTCTGGTGGGAGATCCTTAAGGTCTGTCCACACTTTAAAATTATGTGACAAATTTGTGTGATGTACCTATATATGGTCATGATGACTGCCTATATGTGGTCATTACATCCAAATATGTGCACATCCCATTTATATGTCACATAAAATTTGCTTTGTGCGTAATCTGCCACAAATGTAAATAATGGAATTATGGTATGTACATTCAAAAAAAAAATGTAAATAATGGAATTATGGTATGTACATTCAAAAAAAAAATGTAAATAATGGAATTATGGTATGTACATTCAAAAAAAAAATGTAAATAATGGAATTATGGTATGTACATTCAAAAAAAAAATGTAAATAATGGAATTATGGTATGTACATTCAAAAAAAAAATGTAAATAATGGAATTATGGTATGTACATTCAAAAAAAAAATGTAAATAATGGAATTATGGTATGTACATTCAAAAAAAAAATGTAAATAATGGAATTATGGTATGTACATTCAAAAAAAAAATGTACGGCTCAAATAATTAATTACTTGGGGCGAAACACCATATCCTGTTTGGATATGAACTAATTGTGAAAATAAAATAGAATATTTGAATTTGCTTGCCTTTATATTTGGGTTGTTAACTTCCAAATATCATATTTTAATGTAAAATATTTAGTGTTTGAGCTGGGACAATATACAATTATAGTCAAGTTCTAAGGACACTATAGAAAATACAAGCTAAACACTGTGGTTTCTGCTAATTCATTACCTTGTTAAGAATGAGCGCGCCCTCAATTTTCAATCAAACTTGTTAGCAGACGGCGCGATATCTCAAAGTAACTCAAAATATAAAAGGCTAATATTACGGATATGTACAAACAAAATAAGAATACTCAATTGTGCTTTGTTAATTCTAACTTGGTTTTATCGAGGCTTCCCGGATGGTTTTAGTCTAAAAATAGATTAAATATAGGACTTTTTTCGGCAAGTTCTCAAAGCGTGAGACTTTTAGTATACTTGACTTTAGCTTGTGTAATTTTGCATATACATATTTTTGTTCTGAAAAATTGATAATTTTATCAGCGTCCCAGGCGCAAGCCTAGTCCAAACCACAGTCCAATGTCACACTCATTACTTTCTTTTAGTTTCCACTTATATAGAGCCTGTAAGTTAGTAGAAATTATTTTATTTAACATTCTATAATTTAGTTGTGCATATTTATTATTTTTTTTCATTTTTTTACTTTTTTAATCCAAACGTCACTCCACTTTATATCTACAGCGTTAAACATATTGTTCCATTTGTGTATAGCTTGAGGTGGAATGAATTTTGCATTATTAAAAGTTGAATAAATATTTTTTGTTTTCATTTTAACAATGTTGTCAATTATATTACATTCACTGTCAATATTTACATGCATATTTTTATTATCATGATTCATAATTATGTTTATCCAGTCCCTTGGAATGCCTTCAATTAGCGAAGCGTATTCGTTAAGCCAGTTTCCTTTAACACACAGTTTCTCTAAGATTTCAGCAGGTTTCTTTATGCGGTTAAAAATGATATTATCACATATTTGCTTAAACCCCTGAGGCTATCCAATTTTTATAAAACAGAGATTTATTTTTATACACAATAGCCCAGTTTACCCAGAGATTTTGCTTAATAACATTTTCGTATGTGTTAACCACACAACAACTATTTTCATTCAGTGCAACATTGTAAAACTTCGAAATAAAAAGGAGGAATATTTTTCAAAATAAAGTTGTTTTTCAGGTTAATATTAGACATACTAAAAATTAATCTTTCATTTCCAGATTTATTTATATAGTATAAAGGTAATACATTCCATCTAATACATGTTTTCTACATATCAATTTTTTCACACATGAAATCTTGAGAGCCTTGACTTGTAGAGCAAAATCTGGCATATTTATACCTCCTTCGGTTAGATTACCGATTAATTTTTTTTCTTTTTATTTTTTATTTTTTTCCGCTCCATAAAAATTTGTGTATTAGTTTGTTCACCCGTAAAATAATATCAGTTGGTACATCGATAATAGACGCATTGTAAATCAATTTAGACAAAGCAAGACTTTTCAAAACTGTTACTTTTCCAAAATATGTCAGGTTCCTACCCTTCCAGGTATTGAGCATTTTTTCTAAACTAAGCAATTTATTATCCCAATTTAATTTGCTACATCCTTTTATGTTGTATCCCACGTAAATTCCTAAAACCTTAATCGGTTCTTTAACCCAATTTAAGTTACATGGTTTTTCAGGTTTGTTTATACTCGTTCTCTTATACACATCTAGATGTGTATAAGAGACAGGTGCAACACCACTGGTTGTTTACAATATTAATACCTATCTCAATACTATCTACATTCCCAACAAAAAGCACCGTGTCATCTGCTAATTGAGCAATACGCACTTCATTTTGTTCCAGACCCGGTAAAGATATTCCTTTATATCTCACATCATTTCTTATATTACAAGCCATGATCTCCACAACTAAAATAAACAATAACGCCGACAGAGGTTTCCAAAATATGTCAGGTTCCTACCCTTCCATGTATTGAGCAGTTTTTCTAAACTTAGCAATTTATTATCCCAATTTAATTTGCTACATCCTTTTATGTTGTATCCCACGTAAATTCCTAAAACCTTAATCGGTTCTTTAACCCAGTTTAAGTTACATGGTTTTTCAGGTTTGTTTATACTCGTTCCAATCCACATGGCATTTGTTTTGCTTTTGTTAAGGCTCATACCTGATACTTTGCAAAAGTTGTTTACAATATTAATACCTATCTCAATACTATCTACATTCCCAACAAAAAGCACCGTGTCATCTGCTAATTGAGCAATACGCACTTCATTTTGTTCCAGACCCGGTAAAGATATTCCTTTATATCGCACATCATTTCTTATATTACAAGCCATGATCTCCACAACTAAAATAAACAATAAGGCCGACAGAGGACAGCCCTGTCTAATACCACAATACATTTGAAAACTTTCGGATACCCATCCGTTACTTACAATTAAACACTCGGTATTATTGTATATTGTGCTTATCCATTTGCAAAATGAATCGCCAAAATTGAACTTTTTCAATGCTCTTATCATGAATTCCCTACTCACAGAATCGAAAGCCTTTCTAAAGTCGAGCGATAAAAATGCGCCTTCGCTTTCTTTATCTTTGGTGTAGTATAAAATGTTGTTAATTAACCTGATGTTTTCACCTGCAAAGCGACCTTTGATATACCCTTTTTGGTCATTGTCAATTAGATTTTCAATTATTTGTTTTAATCTGGGTCTTAAAACATGGGTTAAAATTTTGTAATCTGTATTTAACAGGGTGATGGGATGCCAGTTTTCTAACATTTGTTTATCACCTTTTTTGTAAAGGAAATTTATAGCACCCCGTTTCTGCGTGTAACTCATTTCATTTTTTAAATAGCATTCGTTGATTGCGTTACAAACCATGTAATTGATATCATTCCAAAATAATTTATAGAATTCTACCATCTATCACATCCAAGGCCTTCGAAAACATTATATTCTTCTTCTGTTAAACAATATACGTTTGAATTATTTAGGTAAATGTTTATATCATTTGAGGAAATGCCCTTATTTTCATATAATTGTTTAAAAAAAATTTACTTCCTCGTGGTTTAAAAAAATTTACTTCCTTGTGGAGAACTTCCAGAGGTTTCGTTGCGACAACACTGTTTGCTTTTTTTATATTTTTTATATGTTTTTTTGTACTGTTGTTTTTCTCTATAATTAAAAAATAACTAGTACTGCGCTCGCCTTCTTCCATCCATTGTACTCTTGAACATATGAATGTACCCTTTGCTTCTTTGTCATAAATGTTTTCTAAAACTTTTGTTTTTTCTTCAATTTCAGCCTGGATGCATTCATTATCAAAATCACTACCCTGGTTGACAATTGCTTCATTTAATCGTTGTATTTTTTTTTGTAGTTTTTCTTTTTCTTTATTTTTTTCTTTATTTATTTTTTTAACTGTAATGAATTGAAAAATCTTTAACCTTGACTTTTATTATCTCCCAAATTAAATCGGGACTCTTTCTTTTTTGTAGTAGAAATAATTTTTTTGATATAGTTTTGATAATTTGTATCATGAAAAATACTATTGTTTAGTTTACAATAACCTGGACCCCGTTTGGATTCATGTAATCCAATCTTTATTGATATTGCCTGATGATCGGTAAGTATTGCTGGTCTAATATCGCATGACATTATTTCATCATATTCAAATATACTTTTTGAAACAAACCAGTAATCGAGCCTTCTATAAATCTGGTTGTATTTTCTACGCCAAGTAAAATGTAATTTATTTGGATTAATATTTCTCCAAGCATCCTTTAAATTAAAGTTTGTTCATAAAGTGCTTTACTGTAAATACAGATGTGTCCTTTTTATCGGCACTATTCTTTTGGTCACAACTTCTATCAAGGACACAATTCATATCACCACCCACAATAATTCTATTATTGTAATCAGCAATATTCGAGATGGTGTTATTTAATTCTCTAAAAAAAACACTTCTCAGTTTACTATTATTTGGGGCTTATACATTAACAAATATAAACAATTTATCATTAATTTCTGTTTTCATAATTAAGTATCTCCCTTTCTTATCCACATATTGATTGATTATATTGAAGTTGAAGCCTTGCTTAAATAAAATTGATACACCCGCACTATTAGAAGTATTAGTACTATGTATGCAATCACCATTCCATATTGATTTAAATTTTTTACTAAATCATGCGTACGATGTGTTTCTTGTAAAAATATTACATCAGCCTTTTGATCATTACAGCATTTTGTAATCTGCAGTTGCTTGGCTTTGTCACGTAAGCCTCTTACATTTAAAGAGAGACAATGGAAATTAAACTTAACCATGCCTAAAGTTAAATCTTAGTGGTCATCAAGTACTTGGATTTAACCATGAGTACAATTTCATGAGTAAAGCTATCATAAACGATATCATAGTAACAGTATTTATACGTATTACCAGCATTTGTACAGTAATGGTAACAGCATTTATATGTTAATAGTATTTTGATAGCATATACTGATAATCATATTTTGATATCAAATATCGAACATGACGATTGTTCATTGAACACTTATTTCTTTCTATTATTTTTCTTACTTTTGCTGGATTTTCTTCCTCTTTTGGTACCAGGCAACGTGGGCGAGATGTTATCTGCCTGCGTTTTTTCTTCATCTTGTGG